AGAAGAAAAAATAAAAGGCATCCAAATGAGAAGGGAAGAAGTATAAAACTTATTATTTACAGATGACATGCACTGTATTTTGCTATGTATAATGCACACTTTTTTGCCCATGTTTTTTAGGGAAAAATAAGGATGCACATTGCACATGGGCAGTACTAATTCCATATCTATGTAAATTTTTTTTATTATTTTTATTTATGCCTGTGTGTTAAAAGTATAACTCTAGAAAGCAATAATGATACCCATATGCAAAATAATCCCCTGGAGTATGATAATTGGTTTTGTTGAACTTAGGAAAAACTTGCAGTGAAAGCAGTTTCAGCCCACAATTCCACTGAATGAAAAGAGTAATGTACTATTATCCATAGAATGAGATAAATGACCAGTTGTTACCCACTTGATAGGATAGGTGATGCCAACTCTATTACCATAGGGTGAACAGGGTGACATTTCTCTTCCTACACTTTAGGTGGGAGAAATGATTGAAAAATGTCAAAATGGTTTTTGTATACTATAAGCTTTAAGCTAAACATTTGCCAAAAAGCATGGCAACAGAGCTTTGGACCTCCCCTCACAGAGATTCAGCAGATCACAGAGGCGACTGGAAGAAAAGCTTCTTCAGATGCTGAGACAGAAGAAGGCAGTGGGAGGGAAGCCTCCAAAGTGGCCAGAGGTGGAGCAGCAGGTGAAGACCTGGACTCTGGGGCAGCATCACCTGGGATCTCTGTTTCGACCAAGATGACATGAGAAGAAGGAAAAGGATAGTATGAGAAAAAACATCAATGATTTCTCAGGGATGCCTAACCAGCCAACTGCCACCTCATGACGTATCAGTAAACAAGCCCTTTCCGGCCCTGATGGAGAAAGAGTGGACCTCAGGGGTGCTGTCAGCTGGCAATGATTTAACACCTGCAGGCAGGATCGAGGAAGCATCCATCGTCCAGGTTTGGGGTTGGATCCAAAGATTGTGGAACGGTGTCAGGAAGGAAGCATTTGTGAAATCATTTAAAAACTGCAGCATCAGCAATACTATGGATGGAACTGAGGACAATGAAATTTAGCGGGACAAGGAAAGTGATTCTTCAGAAGACACCAGTAATGTAGAGATTGAAGAAGATGGTTCTTCCTCTGATGTTAACAGTGATGAAGAGCTCTTGGCCTGTGATGCATAAATATTGTAAATTTGTTTCCTGTAAATAAAATTTCTTATATATTGTGTCTGTTCTTGTGTTTTGTAATTATTTGTTACATAAAATTTCTTGTACCATAATATGTTCAATAATAAATACTAAAATTCCTATATAATACAAAAAACAAGTATCTAAATATAAATAAAATGATTGAATTAAAAATTAAAACAAAAGATTTTTTCATTGAAGTTTATGCCACCTGGCTGGTGTAGCTCAGTGGATTGAGCACGGGCCTGCGAACCAGACAATCGCGGTTCGATTCCCAGTCAGGGCACATTCCTGGGTTGCAGGCCAGTTCCCTGCAGGCCAATTCCCAGCAGGGGACGCACAAAAAGCAACCATACATTGATGTTTCTCTCCCTCTCTCCTTCCCTTTCCCTCTAAAAAAGATAAATAAAATCTTTAAAAAAATTTGTAAAAAAATAAAGTTTATGCCAAAAATGTGGGTATACATTGTACACAGCAAAATATGTTATATAGAGAACCCTAAAGATTCCACCAAAAAACTACTAGGACTGATAAATGAATTTAGCAAAGTAGCTGGATACAAAATAAATATCCAGAAATCATTTGCATTAAAATCACCAATAATAAACTATTAGGAAAACTAAGTCAAAAGTTAATGAAATACCTAGGAAAATGTAACCAAGGATGTAAAAGAACTATATTTGGAAAATTATAAGACTCTGAATAAAGAAATTGAAGAAGATTCAAATAAATGGAAGCATATTTCATATTCATGAATAAGAATAATTAAAATAATTAAAATGTCCACACTACCCAAAGCAGTCTATACATTCAACACAATTCTTGCCTAAATATCAGTGGAGTATTTCACAGAACTAGAACAAATGTTCCAAAAATTTATTTGGAGCTACAAAAGACCCCAAATTGCTACAGCAATCTCAAGAAGATCAAAGTTGGAAGAATCACCCTCCCTGTTATCAAACTACACTGCAAGGCAAAGTTATCGAAACAGCCTGGTACTGGCATGAAAAACAGACATAGATCAATGGAACAGAACAGAGAGCCTAGAAACAAACCCACATCATTGTGGTCAATCAATATTTGATAAAGGAGGCAGGAACATACAATAGGGTAAAGATAGTCTATTCAATAAGTGGTGTTGTGAAAATTGGACAGATATGTGCACAAAAACGAAACTAGATCGTCTTACATCATACCTAAGAATAAACTCAAAATGGATTAAAGGCTTGCCTTGGCTGCCATGGCTCAGTTGGTGGGGCATCATCCCATAAAACTAAAGTTCGTGACTCCAGTTCCTGGTAAGGACACATACATGGGTTGCAGGTTCAGTCCTTGTTCAGGGTGCATACAAAGGCAGCCAATCAATGTTTCTCTCTCATATTAATGTTTCCCTCTCTCCCTCCCTTCCCCTCTCTCAAAATTCAGTATGTCCTCAAGTGAGGATTTTTAAAAAATGGATTAAAGATTTAAATGTTAGGCTCAAAACCATAAAATATCCTAGAAGAAGACATAGGCAGTAAAATCTTGGACATTTCTCATAGCAGTATTTTTTCTCATTTATCTCCTCATCCAAGGGAAACAAGAAAAAAATAAACTGATGGGATTACATCAAACTAAAAAGTTTTTGCACAGCAAAGGAAAACATCAACAAAATGAAAAACAACCCACTGAATAGGAGAACAGATTTGCCAATGATATATCTGATAAGGAGTTAATATCCTAAATTTATAAAGAACTTACAAATCTCACCACCCAAAGAACAAATGATCCAATTAAAAATAGACAATGGGCCTGAATAGACACTTCTCCAAAGAGGACATACAGATAAATATGCTGAATGGCACAAATCATCAGAGAAATGCAAATTAAAACCACAATGAGATATCACTTCACACCTGTGTGAGTGGCCCTCATCAATACATCAACCAACAAAGTGCTGTCAAGGATGTGGAAAAAGGGGAACGCTCATTCACTGTTGGTGGGAATGCGGGCTTGTGCAGTTACCATGGAAAACAGTATGGTGTCACCTCAAAAAACTAAAAACAGAACTGCCTTATGACCCAGCGATTCCACTTCTGGGAATAGAGCCAAAGAAACTTGGAACACAAATTTGAAAGAATATATGTACCCCAATGTTCATTGCAGCACTACTTACAATAGCCAAGATTTGAAGGAGCTTGAGTGCCCATCAGTAGATGAGTGGATTAAAAAAGCAGTGGTATATTTACACAGTGGACTCTCGTGACAGCATGGATGAGCCTAGATAGTTTTATGCTAAGTGAAGTAAGCCAGTCAGAGAAAGACATATATCACATGATTTAATTTGTAAGTGGAAACCTGATAAACAAAATCAACTAACAAATAAAGTAGAAACAGACCCACAGACACAGAGAATAGACTGACGGATGTCAGAGGAGCGGGGAGAGGCAGCAGGGTGAAAAAGGGGAAGGGACTAAGCAGAAAAATAATTTTTTAAACCTCACCAACAGCAGTATGGTGATTAGCAGAGGGAAAGGAGGGTGGGGAAGGGAGGAAAGAGTAAAGAGGGGATAGTGGTGATGGAAGGAAAGGACCTGGGACCGTGAACACACAATTCAATACACAGATGATGCATTATAGAACTGTATACTTTAAACCTATATAATTTTATTAACCAATGTCACCCTAATAAACACAAAATAAAATGTGTTATGTAAAAAAGTGATATAAGTGTATGTTTACATTACTCTTGTAATTAAAAAATAAAAATAAATGCAGATAAAATGCAGATATGTTACTCACTTTTTTCATTATAAAATAGAGTAGGATGCCACCTAAATACCCAATAAAAAGGGTTTATTAGGTATATTGTGATGTCCATAATTTTTATATGTTCATTAAAGTTACTGATTTTTAGTGACATTGATAAAGTTACTGTATAACATTAAGTGAAAGTGGTATACAAAATTGGATGTTTAGTATGATCTTAACTTTTTACAAAAATTTATAGAAAAAAACCTAGAAAGAAGTATGTCAAATTTGAACAATGTTACAGATTTATATGTATTTACGAGCTATAGATTTGAGTGACATCTATTTCTTTATGCTTGTTAAAACTTGTATTACTTACAATTTCTAAAATGATTGAGTTATACTTTTAAGTTGGAAAAAGGAAGGCATTTTAAAAGATACATTCCTCTTTTCCCAACCTGAAGTTCATGATAAAGTAGTAGTAATATTCATTCATAGGCACTCTGAGTGGTGGAAACCAGAAAGGTACTTTTGTGTATGATGAGTTGCAATCCTCTGTAATTTTAGGCTTATGTGTTGTAAGTGTTGCAAAGAACATTGTCTATGTTCTTCTTTACAATAAAATGAGGCTTTCTGTGTTATTATTTACCTCCTACTAGAATCTAATGCTGATATGCTAACAGTTGGAAGTGTTTTTATTGACTGTTAGAGAGAAGAGGAAGGAGAGAGAGAAAGAGAAACACTGATTTGTTGTTCCACTTACATGCATTCATTGAAGATCGAACCCAAAACCTGGTGTATGAGGATGACACTCCAACCAACTAAACTCAACTAAAGGTTGAGTTTTTTTCACTTTAGTAATGCTTGAGACATTTATATTGATGTTTGGTAGCTATGAAATGAGAATCTGAGTTGATAGCCTAATTAAGTAGAAAGAGTGAGGTACCGAACTGAGCGCAAGTAAATATTAAAATCAAACTCATGAAACAAATATTCAAAAGAATATATGTTCCCCTCTAAAACCAACAAAAAATGGATACCTGTTAATAAATATGTTAGGTAACTCTAAATCTCTTTATTATCTTTGTGCAGGAAGAAGCAATTCCGGTATCTGCAAGAAACCAAGGGGAAGAAACCCGGTGTTGTCAATGAAGAAAATAACGACAGCAAAAGACTTGTAGGAGAAAACACGAACCGTGCTATGTTAAATTACACCACAAGAGACTTTTATAACGAAAAGCTAGAGGTAAAACTACCATTGGTTTTTAGAATCTAGTGCCTGGATCTATCCCGTATGGCTTATGACTTGGCAGTTATGCATTTTTTTCCTTAATCGGTTAACTTTTTAACTGATTAACCTTTTCTTTGTTGTTCTGGAGTGTTAGCCAGCCTTAAATATGTGAAGGTGAGGACAGTAGGCACCAAGGCATTAGGAAGAAGTAGAGCCCATGACTCCAATATCTTCACTTCAGCAGAAAAAATATCTTCAAAAGAAATATATGTGCCAAAAATCTAGACCAAGGTAGGACCAAAGGTCCTAATGCCTCTGATGTAAGAACAGGGATACGGGTTGGTGGGGAGTACTTAACTAGCCCATGCCAGGCTGGCTGGGGACACATTTCTCTTCGCTTGAGTCCTTGGTGTTTTAATTCACTTCCTCAGTATTCTGCACCATTAACTTCTGCATTCTTAATCATGTAATATAATTTTGACCTGTTAATGTTTCCACTGTAGCTACTTAGCCAAGGTGTTCAGAGGTTCATTGGGGGGGAGACAATGTTAGGGTGCTGCATGAGCCACAAAGAAGAAGAGCGTGTTGTTTCTGCCTCGATGGAGCTCATAAAAAGCTGAAGAAACAGCTCCTCTGACAAAAGAATGTTAGATTCTGCAAGACATTTTGAGGGAACTAAAGGGCAAAAGAATAAGACAAAGAGATCAGATGGCGTTGATTGAGCACCAGTGGCTTATGGGCAGGGCACTATATAGAGATATGGATATGTGTATATATAGATATATGAGTGTATGTCCATCACAGATATAAAATTCAAAGTGCAACAGGCCAGTAGTTTTCGATTTTTTAACCAGCTGTGGGATTATTTATTCAAACCATATTGTAGCTGAAAACTCAGTATGTCAAAACCAGGCAGAACAGCAGAGCTGCTCTTGTTGTAGAGAAAAGAAGGAGGTTCGGGGCCTCCCTGGATCTTCTGCTCCTTTCCTGCCCCCTCACCTCACCCTAGTCCCCAAGTGTCTGTTTGGAACCCCTGGGGCTTTGTGGATTGTAGCTCCAAAATCACTTGAAAGCTCCATGTATGTAGCAATATTTTTATAGCATACTAAAGGATATCCAAATTCTGCTTTCAATTCTAGTGCAAGAAAGGTCACTGCTTCATGATGGAGCTGTATATCACTGAACAACTCCACTTACGAAGAACTTGTTACCCAAATTAGATTAATAACTTTCATTTAATGATTCTACGACTGCTTTTTGTCAAAAATAGAACGAGTCTCTTTCTTATGAAAACTCTTCACATAGTTGAAGTCAGATAATCTGCTGTCTCATCTTAGTTCTCTCTACATTTATATCCTTTCACTCATTCAAAAATCATATATAGGAAGCATCTCTCACGCATAATACTTGGGCTCTAAGTAGTTCCTGCCCTCATCCTCATGGTTCTTACATTCTAGTACAGGAGACAGGCATGTACAGGGGTAACTACAAATCAGTGTATCAAGGTAGTACGGGAGGGATAGCTGACCCAGGTCAAGGAAGGCTTTCTAGAGAAGAAACTTTCTAACATAAGTCTTAAAGGATCAAATAACTGCATAACAAAGGGAGAAGGGCAGTTTGGCATATAGCACAGTGTAAATAAAAGGCAGAGACAAATAAAAGACAAGGGGAAGGCAAGGAGCTCCGTGCGGGTCAGTGTTACTGAAGCACGGAGACTGAGGAATGGACAGCATTAGAAGGTGAGACGGGAAGGTAGTGAGAGGACCGTGTGAAGAGACTGAACGTGATCCCTGGGCCATTAGGGGCTTCCTGACTCTGTCATGAGAGGAAAATGAAAGCCCCGCTGGCAGGATTGTGAGTCTTTCTCTTTCTGAAGGCAGGTGATTCTGAGTCAAAAAATACAATTTCAAAAGAAGGCATTTAGAAAAAGTGTCAAAGAGCTGCATTCAAACAAGAACAGTTTCATAGAGATGTCTACCAACTCTTTAAGGGACAGACAAGTCCAATGATTTTTAAATTGTTCAAAAGTACTGAATAAGAAAGAAAACTTTTACATTGTTTCAAGGTTGACAGCATAGCATTGATTTAAAATGTCATGTCAGGATTGCACATAAAAAGGAAAGCCAGACCAGATACCTAAGAATATTAGTGGTGAAAAACCCTTTTAAAATGTTATCCATTGGAAGACAGCAGAACATTAAATGAGTAATAAACATTACAGCCAAGCACAGTTTATTCTAAGAATGTAAGGAAGATTCAGTATTAGAAAATTAGTAGACCTACCTGAAGTGAAAAGTTGTGATTATTTCTATAGGTGCTGAAAGGGCATTTCACTTAATGGAACACCCATTCTCAATTTTCTCTAACTGCATAAAAAGGACAACTAGAAACTGGGAAATAGACGTTATGCACGGCAGGGAGGCTCTAGGAACATCAGCGTTAGTGGTGGCAGAGTTCCGACTTAGACGGGTGGCCCCAGGGTTCCCAGGCCCCAGGATTCACATTCTTGAATAATGTCCTCCCTTAAGTGCGGGTAAAACCTGTGTCTTGCTGCCAGCCAGCAGAATATGACAGGGGTAAGGGAATTTTGCTGATAGAATTAAGATCCCTAATTAGTTGACTTGGAGTTAATAAAAATGGAGATTATCCTGGGTGAACCTGACTTAATCAGGCAAGTTTTCTAAAAAAGGATTCAAGATTTCCTACTGAGAGACTTTCCTTCCTACTAAAAGTAGGAAGCCACCGGTCTTTGGAGAAAGTGACAAGAGAAAGAACTGTGAAGAGGTTCTAGAAAGCAGCTCCCTTACTGACAGCCAGCAAGAAAGTGGGACCTCAGTTCCACAACTGCGAGTAAGTGAATTCTGCCAACAACCACTCTGAGCTGAGAAGAGGACTCCAGGCTTCAGAAAAGAACGCGGCCTGGCTAACGCCTTGTGGAGCCCCGAGCAGAGCATTGAGCTCAGCCAAGCCTGGGCTGTGCATGGAAGCTGAGATAACAGATGTGCGTGGTTCTACGCACCAAGTTTGAGGGGATCTGTGCAGAGCAATAGAACACCGGTGTGTCACTGCAGTCAGTGCAGGACGAGGATGTCCGACACCTCTGTTATTATTTATCAAAGCAAATGGCGCAATTGGACAAGAGAAAGAACTCATTGGTAACTTGAAAAGAAGGGAGCGAACTTACTATTTGCAGCTAATATTGTTGAATAACGGGGAATCCCAAGAGAATTAATTGAGAAACTATAAAAAGCTATAAGAAAATCCAGTAATGGAGCAAAGATCAACAGCTTTCGTATATATAATTAATAACCAGAACAAATATAATGGAGGAAATACCCAACTCACAGAAGCAACACAAAAAAATAAAATACCTAGTGAGAAAATAATAAGTATGCAAGAGCTATATGAATGGAGACAACTGTATTCGAACATCAATTTAAAAGTAAAAAAAATTAACGAAGCACACAAAAGATTTATGCAAATGGAAAAACCTACCATGTTTTAGATAAGAAGGATTGAAAGTGAAATGTTAGTTTTTCTTAAGTTAATTTGAAAATTTAATATGATCCTAATAAAAATACAAAAAAATTCACTGAGGTATTTTTTAAACAAGTTGATCCTACAGTGCATATGGGAAACAAACAGCCATAAAGACTCTGAAAAAGAAGACTAGCCCTGCCAGATACTACGGCATAGTGTGCAGTCGTATCAGTTCAGACAGATGGGTATGGAGAGATGGCCAATGGAATAGAGTGGAAAGTCAACTGTACCTCTGGGTACAAAAGGGAATTATTATATGATAAAAAATAGCCTCAAACCAGTCAGGTGGACTATCCAATAAGTGATTCGAGAATGACTAGGGAACTGAGAAAAAGCAGTATTCAATCATTTTATCTTACACCAGCATAAATTCCAAATGGATCGGAGACTTTAAAGCTTATGATGAAAGCATCAATTTTCTACAAGAAACTGGAGAATTAATGTGTGGCATTAGGAGGAGAAAGACTTCAGGGGAGTAAAATAAGCAAAGACAAATAACAAACAAAAAAGAATTTGCAGTAACCTCCTTAAATTATAAAGAGCTTTTCGAAAAGAAGTCAGTAATTCAATCTAGATTGTATTAGTTATTCAAAAACTTACTTTAAATGATATACCATTTACTTCAGTAACAAACATTGTAGGCATGAATAATAAAATAGGTACAAGCCCTTTATGGAGGGCTCAATAAAATTGTGAAAATTTTCTTCACATTGAAGAAGTACTAAATAGATATTAATGTTCATGGACAGAAACTTTCTACATGATACAGATGTCAGTTCTTCCTAAACCCATCTATAAATGTGAGGCAGTTTTAATCAAATTAAATATGACGGTTATTTGTGGAACTTCACCATTTGATCATAGACATTATCTGACAGAGCAGAGTTTTTTAAGTTGTCTGACAGACCCAAAATACACAGGAGTAAAAGTGGGAGAACTTGCCTTACCAGATAGCAAGTAGCGAGTAAAGCATAGCAACAAAGGTGTGTAGAATGGACACATAGACCCACACGCAAAACAGAGAGCCAGATCCCCACCCTCGGAGGGTGGGGAACTGTTCACATAGCAGGGGTTGCGGACTCGTGTAGACAGACCCTACGTAATACACGGTACTGACGAAACCCTGCTTTACACCATCCAGCAAAAATTAACTCCAGAGTAAACAAAAATCCAAGTACGAAAAGCAAAATGTTAAAGTTCTCATTTTTAAGAAAAAAGTATGACCTTTGTTGAGTAGGCTGTGATTTTCTAACACACCAGGGGTACAGCCTAGAAAGGAAAAAATTGATAAATTTGGCAACCGAGGTCATTGGTTTTGTTGTTTTTTTAACAGAAGTAGTTTCAGTGGGGTCACACAGGCAGAGTCTCTAAAGTGGTTTGAGCAGGAATAAGCAAGAAGTAAAGACAGGGACTGTTGACTCCTGTTCTGAGAAATACCATAGAAAAAAGAGTGAACCTGAAGTCACATAACACTTTGCAAAGAACCTTAGGCCACTAGAAGGCTTGGTTTGGACTGGTGCCCCTGGTTCTGCTACTTGCTACCTGGCAGACCTCGCCCTAGTCCCTGAATCACTCTTGTCCCACAAGCCAGCATTCCTTCACTTACACCATGTCCCCCCCCCGCCCCCGCTTGAAAAATATTTAAATCTGTGCAGCACAAAGTGTTCAGTCTCTCGGGCCTGTGCATCCTGTGTTGCTGGGCGATGAATTGAAACGAGTTTCTCACAAACCAGCATAGGCAGGTCCTTTCAGTATACACCTGACATGTACAATTATACACCTGACATGTACAATTCCGTTGCTCAGGAATTGACCATCCATTCTCCTGATTCATTCTAAAAAAGATTTTCGATGGCTATAGAATCAGAGAGCTGAAAGGGACTTGAAAACCCAATCCTGCTCTTAGATGAGGAAAACTGGAAACTCAGGCGAACTCCTCATGTGGTAAGTCACAGACGGAGCAGCCTTCAGGACGCAGACCTGCGGAGTCCGGACCGTGGACGCACCCACAGTGTGTGCTGCTGCTCTCGGAAGTCTGCTGGGTCACCCCCAGTACAAGGGCTCTCTTCTCTGAACACTGTATTTGCTGTCTAAATATCTCTTCTTTACTGTTTAATTCTTTTAAGTTAGCTTTTCATAGGCTTAGGCCATCTCTCCAGTAGACTGCAAGTTCTTAAAGGACTAGTTCAGAGTTTTCTCTAGGTAAATGTTAGTAGATGATGTCTAATCCCAAGCAAGTCTCTCAACTTCTATTGTCCTTAGTTTCCCATTTATAAAATGGAGAAATGGATTAAATCCCAAAATCATTATAGTTAAAATCACTTTACAACAAATCCCACCACTGGCTTGCTTTTCTCCCCTAACCATCTTCGTGACAACAAAAATTAGTTCAATGAAATTATGTAAACCGTATCGTATAGAGTTCATCTCACCAGGATTGGACTTGTCAAATACTTGCTTCATGATCCACACAGCTGTATTGTAGGACAGAAAAGTATCTGAAAGCATTTCAGAATTAGGAAAACTTCATTCAAAGAGCACCAGCAATGGCTTAGTGGTCAGGCACAAGAGGCATGTCTGAGGCGCCCCTTTCCAGGGCCGTTCTGGACAGGCAGAGCGGGCTGAGCTGGCAGCCATCTGACTGGCGTCGGAAAGCGCTGCAGACACGTGGGGTCCCTGGCTCAGAGGAGAGGAGAAATGAAGAAGGAACAATGCTTTCAAATGCAGTTACTGAATTAACTGTTATTATAGCAGGTGCATTTCTTTATCAACATGTCTATGAAGAAGTGATGGAAGAAACTATAGCTGGAAATTTTAAAGCACCAAAAACTGCACTATGCCAATTGTGAAGAATTTATTTCTACTTGTACTATGTATAAATTATTTAACAAGTATGTCATTTAAAACTTCTTTATGTATTTGTTATACCTATATTATAATAACATTTTCATCTTACTGCTGGAACTTTATCTTTCTTAGTTCAAAATCATGTTTTAAGAAACATATAAATCTGCATTCACTAAATGTGTGCCCTATACTTGTATAAATGCATTGCTCACTGTAAAATGTTGCATGTTTTAGTTACTGGTCTCTCCTCTTTCTTCCTGGTAGTTCCTGTGTAGACCAGACTTCCCAAGTGTTGAAAGGCAGCAGCTAAGTGCTGCCCTTATCAACAAGCTAACTTAGTGCAGGCAGCTAAGTCCCAGACTCTGCTTCCAAGTTGGAGAGGTTAGGTTAGTCAGAGAATCAGCCAGCTGGAACCATTTGCTATTTGTCACGCATCAAAATCTGTGCAGACCTTCATGACAGGTCACCCAGTGGCCTGTCATCTGTAGCATGTGAGCTTAGTCGAATCGGCACGGCGCGCCTTGCACGAGGAGTGGTTATTTAGAAAAACCTTACATGTCATAAGAAAATTTCCAAAATATGCCTCTGTTAGGGAAAGTTAGTGACAATGAAGATAAACATTATTAATTTACAGTAATTACTCAAGAATGTAAAATATATTTTATTGTTTTAAAAAGTTCAAATTTGGAAAAGGAAAAGAAATAGAAAAAAAGGAAAACTTTGTGGTCTCACAAGATGAAGACTGTCTTAATGACACTCTTGTATATGTTTTCTGTGTATATACTTTCTAACTTTTTGATGAGAACTTCAAACGTGCAGCAAAGTTTACAGAATTTTACGCTGAACACCCATATACCCAAACCCAGATCCCACTGTGAACCTTGTACTTGCTTGGCCACGTCTCTCCCCATCTACCCTGTCCTCTATTAAAAATCCACCTTATTTTTTAATATGTTTAAAGTTATTGCAGATATTAGCATGCTTCTCCCTAAATAGTTTAGTATGCATATGATTAATTAGAGTTCAGTATCTTATATAGTTTCTTCTTTTGAGCTAAAATTTACACACAATGAAATACAAACCTTGGGTGTATAATTGTAAGTTTTGAGAAATACATACACTAATATCACCCAACCTCTGTCAAAATTTCATTTTGTATTTTTCCTGTTATCACAAATATTTATAAGTGTAATTGTAATGGCAATATGTGTTGATATTTTAAATTTAACTCTTTAACTCATCTTGAAATTATTTTGGCATTTTGAGTTGGAGGCTTCAGTGGGTCCTTTCAAGTCGTTACACCTGTTGCCTCGTTGACACTTGTTCTGTCCTTGTCCATTGATGTGGATTCATTCTGATGTATTAATTCCGGTGACTCTGATTTATCTGATCTGTTTCATTGAATTTTCCATGTATATTGACTTTCCGTCATCATGCCTTTATACTCCCCAAAAGTATTGATTTCCTAAATTAATATTGAATTCTTGCATTAAACGAAGTGACTTTGTTTCGGCCTCTGGGATGAAAGTGGAGCCCAGTGCCTGAATCCCCCAGGGTTCAAACCTCCCACTGTTGCGTTTTGAACTGAGATTTTTTTCATTGTAGATGGAGAGGGAACACTTTGTCTCAAAGGCGAGCTTCTGGATCCCAGGCTTATGTGTATTTCCTCCTCTTCCTTGTGGACTTTTCTGGACTTTGTCGGAATGGTATAAGCAAGTAATGCACACTACCTGCTTTCCTAGAGCACAGAGTGAATTTAGAGTATGGTTATTTGAAGTATGTATGTGGATATTAACTGACCTCATACGCACTATTGTTATCAGTACTCTGAGTCATTCACCACTAGAAGCTGTGAGTCTGTGCATTCAGCTCACTGAATGAGTGAACGACCTGGACTGAGGAACGTGACCTCCTCCCAGGGAGAAACAGCAGTGACGATCCAGTGACTCTAAGAGAGAAACGCAGTTCCTCCCAGCGTTGTCCACCAGTGGTGGGTGTCGGCTGGGGCGCCAGAGCTCCCTGTGACCACCTCTTCTCAGACACACCTCTGTGAGCGGACTGCTCGGGAAAATGCCCCTGCTCCGATGGTGGGGTCAGGACAGATGATGTCAAGGTTCTCTGGTTCAGCTAAGTGTTGTGTTGGCTTTTGGATTAACTGTGATTCAGTGCAAATTTTTCTTTTTTTAACAGGAAACAAAGGAAAAAAAGAAATTCTGCAACATGTATATAGAGGACCTTGTGAAGGAAGCCACAGAAATCAACACGAAAAATGAGGCTTTGCAGAAGCTCTGGCCACAGATGTTCATCGAGCTCGTTAGGGATGCAGTCATAGAGACTCGAAATAAGAACTCCTACATGAAGCTTTGCCTACAGCAGATAACTGACCAGAAGTAGAAATGGCTTATAGTCATTTAATGGTTTATAGTCACAGTTGATTTCAGCAGTTTTCTGGTTTTGGAGCATGAAAATACACAGGTTATACATGCTGAGACAACAGTACTGGCCTGCAAACCAGGACACAGCAAACCATTACCGCCTACTCTTCTCGCAGATAAGGGTTAGGAAGGAAAGGAGGAAAGCGAGAAGCGGGCTAGTCTTCTGTGCATGGCGACCAAACAGCCCGAGGGGACCCAGCAGGGTTCAGAGCTGCCCTGGCCGTGGGATGGCACTGCGCCCTCAGCACCTGCTTGGAACGGTGCTGCTGCCATGGCCCTAAGCGCAGCATTTGCTCATGGTTCAGCACGGGTTGCTTCTGCCTTCTTTCGACTGATAGTTTCCAGTTATTTGCTTTTTTAAGTTATGTCATGATTTCAAAGCCCAAACATATTATTTTGTATAAGTTTATTATTAAATGTATTAATAAGTAAACAAAACGTGTGTTTGCCTCATGCCAGTAAAATGAATTATCATTTTACTGTTTGTTCCTCTTTAGCTGGGTAGGAGCCCCTCTTTTTATTTACCCAGGAAGAGGTGCACGCCCTCAGGACACCGCTGAGAGCCTGAGGGTCACTGTGGGCAGGAAATGTGGACATGAGTCCAAGCTGGGGCAGGAAGAAGTGTATCGCCTTAAGCGACCCTTGGTGAATGTAAAACGCAGTTACAAATCAGTATCAGCTTCTCTGAAAGGTGTTTCCTTGTTGTCAGCTGTTCTGGGGCTCTTCTTTTAGGCAGATGTGTGTACCTGTACCTCAAAAGTAGTAGGGATTTATGGGTGAAAGTTCCTAATTTTTCTAATTTCATTTAAAGATCAAACAGATAATTAGGGGTTCATCCTAGCTCATGCTGTTCAGGAGGTTGGTTGGAGTGCATTACCATAGCTGGAGATGATACAACAGTCTTATAGGTCAGTAAATAGGACTTCAGTTTGCTTGGATTTTTCTTAGTAACTGTTAATTGGCAGCAGGACCACCAAGATGTGAGAAAATGAGAATGAAATAGGACAAAAAAGCCATACAGAAATGCTTGGAAGGAAGTGAGGGAAGCTGCTTCCACAGTTCTAAGCAAGGCCCCACGACTGTGAGAGCTCTCAACCATCCCCCCAAAAGCAGAGCTCAGGGTTATGAAGGAGACTCACGTCTTGCAGACGTAGCCCTGTTAGGTCGTGCTGTCCTGCACTTGCATCTCGGCACTTGACTACCACCTTGATAGCCTGCAACCATTCTGAACCTCAGTTTCCTTCTAATAGTGCCTACCTCGTAAGATGGTTGTGAGGATCAAACGACATTAATGCATTTAAAGCATTTAATGTACTGTCTGGGACACAGCGAACACCCAATAAATGGAGCTGCTATTCTTCTAGATACAAGTGTTGAACCACAGAATTAGTGCCCCAGGACAGGAAGAGAGATTGGTGTTTCTTAATGATCCTTCAGTCTTTCTTTCTTTAAAAGTATGTTTTATTGATTATGCCATTACAGTTGTCCCATTTCCCCCTTCATTCCCCTCCACCCTGCACACCCCCTCCCCCAGTACCCCCTTTAGTTCATTTCCATGTGTCACAAGTTCTTTAGATTCTATATTATCTATGGTACTTATTCTCTGTACATTTTCCCCCCTTCTCCTTCTCCCACTCCCCTGTTGCTAACTCTCCATGTGATCTCTCCATTTCTATGGTTCTGCTCCTGTTTAGCTGTCCTCTTAGTTTGCCTTTGTTTTAGGTGTGGTTGTTAATAACTGTGAGTTTGCTGTCCTTTCACTATTCATATTTTTATCTTCTTTTTCTTAGATAAGTCCCTTTAACATTTCGTGTAATAAGGGCTTGGTGATGATGAACTCCTTGAACTTGACCTCACCTGAGAAGCACTTTATCTGCCCTTCCATTCTAAATGAAAGCTTTGCTGGATAGAACAATCTTGGATGTAGGTCCTTGCCTTTCATGACTTGGAATACTTCTTTTCAGCCCTTTCTTGCCTGTAAGGTCTCTTTTGAGAAATCAGCTGACAGTCTCATGGGAACTGCTTTGTAGGTGACTGTCCCCTTATGTCTTGCTGCTTCTAGGATTCTCTCCTTCATTTTAATCTTGGCTAATGTAATGATGATGTGCCTTGGTGTGTTCCTCCTTGGGTCCAATTTCTTTGGGACTCTCTGAGCTTCCTGGACTTCCTAGAAGTCTATTTCCTTTGCCAGATTGGGGAAGTTCTCCTTCATTATTTGTTCTAACAAGTTTTCCACTTGTTGCTGTTCCTCTTCCCCTTCTGGTACCCCTATAATTCGGATGTTGGAGCGTTTAAAGATGTCCTAGAGGTTCCTAAGCCTCTCCTCATTTTTTTGAATTCTTGTTTCTTTATTCTGTTCTGGTTCAATGTTTCTTTCTTCCTTCTGTTCCACTCCATTGATCTGAGCCCCAGTTTTCTTTCCATCACTGTTGGTTTCCTGTGCATTTCCTTAGTTTAGCCTTCATTTGTTCATCTAATTTGTTATTAAAATCAACCAGTTCTGTGAACATCCTGATCACCAGTGTTTTGAACTGTGCATCAGATAGGTTGGCTATCTCTTGGTCACTTAGAAGTATGGGCTCTGGGCCTTTGAGCTGTTCTTCTTGAGCCATAACGTTTTGGTCTGTTTGCACCTGTTATGTATGAGGGGCGGAGCCTTAGGTGTTCACCGGGCAGGGCGACCCAGTCACTGGGTTGTGACGCTGTATGTGGGGGTGGAGTCAGAGGGAAGCAGTGGCGTTTTTCTGCTTTCTCTCGTATTTCAGTTCCTTGTGCCGCTTCCTGCAAGCAAATTGGGCCATTCTGGTGCTGATTCCAAGGTGGGTGGACTTGTGTATGTTCTAGGACCCTGTGGGTCTCTCCAAGGAACTCTCCTGTGAGTCTGGGAGCTTCTCCTGGCACCTCAACCCCCGGAAGTTTTTCCAATTGGTGCTTTTAGGCTTTATTTCCTTGCGCTGGGGCCCTGCGTTGCAAGGTCTGTCTCACTGCTTGCTCCTTCTGGTTTATCTGAATGTGAATGTGTGACCACAGTCAGCCTGCCACCTTGCATCCTCACTGGGTCTGCCTGTTGCCACCCCATGCCTGGGATCTGCCAACCACGGCCTGCATGCCTGGGTTGGTCTGGCCACTTTTTCCTGCACTTTTTCCAGCTCCGCCAGTTTCTGACTCCGCCCCTCTTACCAGTCTGGATGAATGGTTTGTTGTTGTTGTCGGACTTCTGTACAGTTCAATTTTCTCTCTGTTCTGGTTGAGTTATGGTTTCTACATCTTTGTTGTTCACAAACTTGGTTGTGCAAGGAGGTACAGTGTTCCCACCCACACCTCCATCTTGGCTGGAAGTGTCCTTTGGTCTTTCTAAATTGAAACATGGACCATTTTCATCTGATTAGTTAGGGGTAACAATGTTACCTTAGGTAGTTAACTAGTTACTAATAAAGAGAACAAAGGGAATTAGACATTGAGCTTAATAAACCTGGGAGTTGAAGCCTGCTTGCTCAGCTAGGAAGCTACGGCCTTTGCGGACTCATTCACACACTGCAGGGGACTGCCGCTGAGGAGCTGAGGACACTTCATCCTCTGAGCACAGGGAATGTCCTCAGGAGCACTGCCTGCCCTCCCATACTGGATTGTTGGGGGGCCCAGGGGGCGGGGCTTGACCATAGAGGCCTGTCCGTCTAACGAGGGAGTGAACCTGTCAAAAGCCTGTGAAAGCTTCGGGGATTGATGAGTTATTTAGAAAGAGCTGTTTATAACCCCAGGGGAACAAAGAAGCAGACTGCACGAGCTCCAAAGGACTAAACTTTAATATGAAACAAACTCTGGACACTGGCCTTTGTTATGGCCTTGCTGACGTCACAGTTGGACTTTTTCCACGGTGGGACAGTCGGAGATGGGACACAGGGGCGTCTTTCCACCCGAATAAACCTTACAAGACCACTCCTCCCACCCGGGCCCCTGGAGAGCTTTCCTTGTGATCCCATGAACGAGCTTGGTTTCCACCACCAACAATCTCTCCTGGCGCTTATATCTTGTTGGTACAGAAATGAGATCCCCTCTTGAGGGTGATATTGAGAAGAGAAATACCATGTTTGTGGTCTTCTAGTAAAAAGGAAAGGCAAGAACTTGTGGCTCCTCAGGAGTGTGGGGAGCCGTTGCTCATTCTAGGTTTTGCGTGTGAGTGGCCTGGCTGGTTAATGAATAATCCGTATGGCTTCCTGTTGCCTCTCCTCCCTCAACCGTCTCTTCCCTGGGGCCAGAGGGACTTGATCCTCGATGTACATGCCTTCTTGGCCATCCTCTGATGTTCTGGGAGTTTAGGGAACCCAGGTCAGTACTCAGTGAGTGGGCAGCAAGCCCACAGGCACTGCGGGCTCCACCTACACCCTCTGCTTCAGGCCTGGTACTGGGATGCTGCCGTGTCCCTGAAACCAAACCTCCTTACGCCCCAGCTTTAGTCGCTTGGTCTCTCATGCCTTTGTACCTGGTCTGCCCTCTTGTCTGCCCCCATGCTGATTGAATCTTATTTTGTCTGGTTCCAAACTCCCAAAGCCTGTGTCCTCCTACCTAGATTCTGTCCCCTTTGGCTCGGTTTCCTCCCACCCCGTTTTGCTGCAGTTGCTAGTGAGAATAATCTCCAGATGAAAGGACACAGGGCACAGAGGTCTACTGGGTGGGGCAGCGAGTGAGGGTACCAGGCTATTAGCAGGTATCCCTGGAACAAGTTGTCTTCTCTGTTTGGCCTTTCCCCGGGTCTTCAGGACGTGGGAGAGACACACATCTCTTGGTCCAAGACTGTCCAGACAAGTGCGTGCTGAAGGTTTGCTTTTTTCCAAAAGGAATCTTAAGGAGTAACAAAATACTGAGGTCGCCTCAAAAGCAGAAATGTCCAGTGTTCCTTATGTTTTGGTGCAGCAGCTAGACAGTTAAATGTGCTGCTAGATCTGGGGATGGCTGCTAAGTGTGCAGTTGGAGTTGAGGCTACTTAACTGCAACTGAATCTGAGGGAGGTGCTGGTATCAGCTCCCACTTCCTGAGCTTCATGGAGCTAATTGTCATACATGTGAGACAGTGGAGTCTTAGCCTGCTCCTGATCTGTTCCTGACCAGGGCATGGATGACACTGATTCACATTCCTCTCCACTGAGTAATAGTAACCATAACAACAACTAGCAGTTACTGAGCAGTAACTACTAGCACCATTCAAAGCTTTTCACGTGTGTTTTCTCCATCTTGTAACCCTGTGGTGTGTATATTACAGATATCGCCACTTGAACATGAGAAAACAAGGAAGGCATAGAGAAGTTAAAACTTCACCCAAGACTATTTGAGCCAATAAATCGTAAAGAGAGCCTGCATTCATAACCACCACCAGTCTTAAGGACCTAGTGTTTAGTAAAATAATGCAAGAATGAGAAGTAAGGAAGAGGGAAGGCAGGGAGAGGTTAAGGGAGGAATGAAAGAACAAGGGAAAGAAGAACCTAGGGCTAGTTAGCAAGGCAAATTGAAAAGTAGAATACAGAGAGACTGCTCAGGAAAATATTAAGTTTGAATTCTGAAGAACAAAGGTTAGTTTTTGTAACCTGATTTTATGGGTCAGCTGGAAGCTGGAACAGGTCCTGTTGCCAAGAAGTTCAGAGTCAAGTCTGAAACTTGATCACAGCAACTGTGGTTAACCAGTATTGATGAAATATTTGTTATCTTTGATCCTGATTTTCTACTTATGTTTATATTTTTCTGGACCATTCTATGTGTCTTTTGTTGCAAGCCACCTTGAATCCTCTGTGGAAAGAGGATAAGGCCAAATAAATGAGCTAAAACTATACACAAAGCTCCAAAGAAAAAATAACTCCTATATTTCTTGGGCAGTGGGACAGTTTTCAGTCTCTCTTCAGGAGACACGAAACTATTACTTTCTTAAACCAGTCTCTCTAAGCTTGAGTTGTCAGAGTTGACTTCTCTTTGTTTATGTTGAAATATTTCAACATGCAGAATGAATGTAGAATAGTATCTCAAATAAATAGCCTGCACCCACCACCGAGCACAACAGACATAAATATTTTTCCCCACTTGCTACAGACATTTAAAATAAAACATTATAAATAGAGATGGAGCTCCTCTGCACCTCTCTCCTTCCCTAGAAGTAACCACTGTCTTGAATTCAATACTTATTATTCATTCATGTTTTCATACTATTTCTATTTATGCATACGCTTGTAGGGTATTTGTCGAATTTTTATATTTTTAAGTTTTATCAAAATAGTATCATGCAATGTATATATTTCTGTATCATTTTTTAATCTAATGTTCTGTTTCTGAGTACCTCTGCTCAGAAACAACTGATAGAAGTGACTCTGCTCCTTTCATTTTTACTGCTTGGTACTCAGTTGTATGGGCGATGAACAATTTCTATACCCAGGTTCTTGTCGGTGCCTTCCGGTACACAACCATCACAGACCCCACTGCTTTGAGTACAGAGCACTTGTCCGCATGTGATTTTGGGGAGTCACACAGTTTGTGGTGGCGTTGCTGGGTCACACGCACACATTTACCGGTTTTATCAACTGGTTTGCACTCCCACGAGCACAGCACACCAGTCCTGGCTGCTCTGCACACTCACTGACAATTAGATTTCATTTTTACAGTATAACGTGTGTTTGGTTATGTTGTGTGTGTATTTGAGTATAGATTGATCAAGGCTTTTTTAAAGATTAAATTTATATGCAGTGAAATGCACTTAAATGGCTAATTGATTGATTTTGAAAATATCCTCAACCTCCCATTTAAGACATAAAACATTTTAATCACTTCAGAAAATGTCTTCTAGTCAATCCTTGCTCCTTCCTTATGAGCAACTTACTTTTTTTGTTAGAACAACTCAGCAACTTAAAATCCCAGCTTATTGTTGGACAACATTGTTTCACACATAAACAGGCTAAAAAATTAAAATAAACAGCAACTTCCTAGACAAAAAGAAAGAAAAAAAAGAAACCTTTTATCTTTGGCCTTTTTAACTATCTCACAAACTAGCTGTAATATACCTAAATACATACACAAAAATAGTTACTGGAATGCTCAGAATAAGATTGCTTTATGTTTGTTGATTTTGCTTTTTTTTTTTTACAAAATTTTTTTTCTTTTTTCAGATTACAATGTGCACGGTCACACCACCAGTAGCCTAAAGACAAGGAACACTCCAAAGTGTAGTTTGGTCGTCCCACGATTATTACAAATGGCTGACCCCTAACAATATGTACAAAAATATAAAATGCAAATAAAAGATGCAACAAATTTTTGTTTTAAAAGTACTTTTAAGGAAAAAAAAGCAGAGTCTTGGAAGTTTTAGGGTTTTTCCTCCCTGGTTGCACACTCACGGTTCTGGTTGAGTGGCAGAGAGCTAGTGTGGCACTGCCCGCGCCCTGGGGGATGGGGCAGGCGGGACTCCCGTCTAGAAGGTGACCGCATTCAGATTCTGAGGAAGTGGAACGTGGCTAGGTCCCGGTGGCCCTTTTTAAAAAAATTAACTTTTCCTTTTGGGCTGTCTAGCCATCCTCATTATTTTCAACTGCCCGTTTTTTCCTAGCTTCCTCAGCCTCCTCGTCTTCATCTCCATCCTCTCCCTCACCATCACCTTTTTCCTCCTCCTCCTCTCCTCCTTCTTCCTCTGCCTTAAGGACAGCTTCCTGTGACCAGTTTTCCTCTTAGCGTTCCCTTTAGCAGGTGAGTCTCTTCCATTTGCATCCTCCTCCACAACTTCCTTCTTCTCCTTTGAGCCCTTTTTCGGTTGTGATGTCGACCTGGGGTCCGGGGCTGCATCTGACAGGCTGGGGTGGGCCCGTGACCTGGCGACCCAGTTCAAGTGACTTGGTGATCCAGTGATCGCATCATTCGGTCTTCTCATGATCTGGCGATCCCACTAACCCGGTGATCCTGTGATTTGGTGATCCCAGGATCCCAGTGGTCTGGCGATCCTGTGCAGGAGATTTTTTTTTTTTAAGTGAGAGTTGGAGATCTGTGGTGAAAGAGCTGCTGGAGCCCGTGGGCTGGAGGCAGCTGCAGACAGCCCAGAGCCAGACCCGGGAACAGCGCAAAGGTGGCTTTTCAGAGCAGCCAGTGGGGGGAGCAACTATTTTCCTAATCTCTTTCACTATTAATTAATTTTGTCTATTCTGTCTATACTTGGAGTTTACCTGCCCATCTCTTCCATCAGTCTGTAGATTCTCTGACCACATCTGAAGTCATGTCTTCCTGCCTATATTTAGAAAAATAGGTGGATGAGTAATAAAGCTTTATCTTGGTGTTTGTGTGGCAAACCAGTTTTACTTAATTTGGATGTTCATTTTGGAAACAGCTCTTGACTTCTGATTTTAATAACCTCACATCATGCAGTTTTGAGCACCTTGCACTGACACCTCTATGCACCCTCCAGATGCCAAGTTCAGACTCTGGTAAGCCAGGCAGCACCAGCACTTGGAGTCGCTGCACAGTGGCTGTGCCCAGCAGCCGACTCTTTCAGTCTTACGAACATCATCGTGGTGCGCAGCGGAGCAGCATAAAAAGGAAAAGTCTGCAACTCTGATACTACTGATCAGACGGGAAACCTCACAGGTACTACCATAGACTCAAAGGTGGAAATCATTAAACACAATGAAAGTTCCATAAAGAAAAAGAACAAAAAGTAAAGCCTACATGCAAAATGCTGGGAATATGTCAACAAGAGTGGAATCTAAAAGGCAGAGTGACTATGGATTTTTACCATTGTTTTAGCTTTCTGGGAATGAAAGCCCCACATAATATACAAGTTGCCCTGTTGAACTTTTCATTTTCTAGCAGATTTACAGAGATATATTGTGGACCAGCTATCCTCAATAAGACGTAAGGTTGATCATCAGTTTGTGTGAACTCTGAGGTCAAGTTTCTCAGCACATCCAGGCCGCGAACTGATGCTGCAGATGGTGACGGTGAGGCGTGTGGTCTGGGGAGAGGCTTGAAGGCTGAGATGTCCGTGCACCTGATGATGTCAGCAAGCAGTCAGTCAGGGTTCAGGATTGGGGAGACATCTCCCAGAACATGAGCGAAGACTGCCTGCCATTACCCTGGGGGGCTGCCCACATCAGACTGACACGCAGGAGTCTTGCCCTTCAGATGCCTGTCCGCACCCGCTTTCCTGGGACCCAATCCCTGTGGTGGGTCCCGGCACTCTTAACAGACTCTCACCTGACTTTTGAGCCTGCTGGGTCGGGACCAGTGCTTTGGCAGATGCGCACACAGCAGCCATGAGCCCTGGCCTCCTCCTGTGGTCTGGAAGGGAGTCCGCTTCAGCTTCTGTGCCATGAGGAAGTCAGCCTGGTCAGACCCCAAGGGATATCGGCCTCTATTAACAAGAAGACAGGGTTTTCTAACAAAAAAGAAGAATCCAAAGAAAGTTTTTGCAATCAGCTTTGAAGTGCTAATGTTATGGGATTTCAAATGTGTAAGGCCTCTCATCTTTCCCCAGGCTGACCCTAGAGTGGCAGAACAGGGTCGCCATCCTTCCAACAAGACTCTGTGGAGCCCTGGTCATGTGCTGTAGCTGCACATAACATTAGACTGTGGAAGGAGACACGCGGCCAGTGGCAGAGCACTTTGTAAGACTGTGGTTGGGAGACCAAAGGCCTTGAGAGTTGGTAAGATAAGAACACTCCCGGCCTCCGCCCTGTGGAATAGATTGCCGATAGCGATGGGGACGGTCGTGGGGCAGGGCTGACTGACCATGCGTGGTGCAAGTATGACTTTCAGCTAACCCCGCACTGAATGTGAAAACCCAGAGACCTTCGCCTCCGTGAAGTACGGGAAGTCAGGCCCAGTAGCTGAACTTACGGACCCTGTTGTGCTCAGATGACCAACAAGAGGGAAGGTGCTGCGGCCAAAATCCAGGAGCCTGATGACCAGCGCCCAGCAGAGCCAGTCAAAACTGAGAATGGAAATATATCCCTAAGCTCTGCACAGAACCTAGTTCTTTTTTAAAAAAAGATTTTTATTTTATTTTGTTTTATTTATTTTTAGGGAGGATCAAAGAGAGAGAGAGACGTCAATGTGCCACTGATCAGTTGCCTCCCACGTGTCCCCATTCAGGGGTCTGGCCCACAGCCCAGGTATGTGCTCTGACTGGAAATCGAACCAGTGACCTTTCACTTTGCAGGACGATGCCCAACCAACTGAGCCACACTGGTCAGGGTTATTCTTAATTTGAATTCACCTAAAATCATTCAGATGCTGCTGGGTTTTTCAGCCATTTGACCCATGGCCTGTATTTCCGGTCCAGGAAAGAAGCCGCACAGGCTCCTCTCTCCACTCCCCTCCCCCACGGTGCCCAGTTCTCTGACATGCGCTGTGTGTGCCGCTGTCCTACTTCTAATGCCTCTCGCAACACCAGCCTTTTTCTCTGCATCCGTCTTCTCTCCTTCCACTTTCCTCTTTTTCTTTCTTGTACCAAATACTTCTGTAATCCTCTTCCTAGCCTTCCGGCTCCATCCTCTAGTGCTGTTTCTCTCACACTTCTAATCACAAAAAGTAAACAAACGAAACCCCCACATTTCCCTCCCTCTCATTCTATTAATTTCTTAGGACCTCTGTTTCTCAGCATCTCTAGTCACTACCTTCGTACCTCAGGCTTCTGAGACTTGGGACTATTTTTTAAAATTTCCGTGTTGACTCATTGAGATACCACCTCACACCAGTCAGAATGGCCGTCATAAACAAATCAGCAAACGTGTTGGTGAGGTTGTGGAGAAAAGCGAACCCCAGTGCACTGTTGGTGGGAATGCAGACTGGTGTAGCCACTGCAGAAAACAATATGGAATTTCTCAGAAAACTAAAAATGGAACTGCCTTTTCACCCAGCAATTCTACTACTGGGATTATACCCTAAGAGTCCTGAAACACTAATCCAAAAGAACCCATGCACCCCAGTGTTCACAGCAGCACAATTTACAATAGCCAAATGCTTAAAGCAACCTAAGTGCCCATCAGTAAATGAGTGGATAAAAAAACTATGGTACATTTGCACAGTGGAATTCTATGCAGCAGAGAGAAAGAAGAAGCTCCTACCCTTTGCCACAGCATGGATGGAACTGGAGAGCATTATGCTAAGTGAAATAAGCCAAGTGGTGAGGGACAAATACCATATGATCTTAACTTTAACCGGAACATAAACAACAAAAGAAAAAAGCAAACAAAATATAACCAGAGACGTTGAAATTAAGAACAATCTAAAAAAAGCCAGATGGGAGGGGGGACAGTGAGGAGGAAGAGTTTTCAGTCCTACTATATAGGACACATGGGCAAAACCAAGGGGGAGGGTAGAAGCAAGGGAGGGAGGTGGGTTTGGCTGAGGTGGAGGGGAAATGCAGACAATTGTAATTGAACAACAGTAAAGTAATTAAAACATTTCTGTGTTGATCCCAATCTCTATGAAATTATTCTCAGAAATACTACATGCCAAGTGAGATATTCTGACGAGCATCATCTAAGCCCCATGGCAAGGGGAATAGAGACATGTCCTATCCAGCTTATCTCCTACTAGACTGTGAATATCTTAAAGAGGGACAGTTTTTGGACCTTAAAGAATACACGTTTATTAGAATATCTTAGTTGTGGCTGGCACCACTTACTATAATAAAAGTAGGGTACAGCAATATCACATCTTTCAATTTAAAAAATCATTGGATACCATGGGGTATTTTTTTAAAATATTTTATTTATCTTTAGAGGGGAAGGGAAGGAGAGTGGGAGAGAAACATCAATGTATGGTTGCCTCCCATGTGTCCCCCTGGTGCTAGGGGGATGGTTGCTTGGTTCCCAGGCCCGAGCTCAATCCACTGAGCTACGCCAGCCGGGGCTTCCATGGGGTATTTTTTAAAGTCACAATTTCTGGTGCAAATGTCTCAACAGCAGGGGTGGAACTTTTGCCCATAGTTCACACGCATACTTACCTGCCCACCATCCCAACTGTCGAGGAAAAGAGACCAAGGAAACCAGGAGGGGAGGTGGCTCTTTAACTTGGGGAAGCGTGGGGGGAGAGCAGGAATATCCTGTTGTCAACAGAAAGCAAGAATTTTATATTAAAAAAAAATATGAGGAGCAATGTCAAGAGGCCAAAGGATCCGATCTCAGGGTTTTCATTGACCAAGTTGTAATAATTTAAGCACAAAATATTATCTTTATTATGGTTACTTGAAGTAAGTTGAGGATATGAAAGATCATGAAGTCATAATTATTCCCAACAGGGAAAAGTTAACATAATAAGTATAAAACATAATTATAATACAAAAAAATGGATAACCAGTTATGAATTTGTTTCTTTTCAATGGATTTTAACAAGTAACTATTGTTTACATGTGGGTATTTTTTCTCTTCCACTAAATTACAGTTTTTTATAAAAATGTATAAATGTATATGCATATTTGTTTCTGAGCAAAAATAGAATTATGGAGCTGAGTAAACCAATAATGTAGGAAAAAAACGGGACCCAGCAAGAAGAGGGAGGACTGACTCAGTTGGCACCAGGATTAACACATAATAATTCAGGTAGAAAGAAGGTCCGGCACTTAATCAGATTCAGCGATCACACAAAATTACCGTGGAGAAGAGAATTTCGACCGTCTCCCACAAGGATGAATTAGTCAAATCTTCCAAAAAGGAAGCATATGTTACTGATACCTAGTGCCTCATCTCATAGGAAATGAAACTACTAGATGTCCCTATGCATTTTCATAAAATACCAACAAGGAATACATAATTCTTTAAAAAGGTAGCAGATCCAGTCAATATATCATAGCGATAGGACAGTGGTTTTTGTAATGCTGGTAAAATGAGACTTTAAAAGTGCTACATCATTTCCTGAAAGACACCAGATTGTAAAAAAATGAAACCGAAGCGAAGGTGTGACCTTCAAAATCGCGTTGCAGTAACATCAGAAGTTTATGCAGCTTGAAGCTGAGTCGTGGCCCCAGACAGAGGAGGGGTCAGCCAATAGTCCACATCCCAGAGCCGGGGCGCGGCTGAGCACGTATACTTTTTCTTTGGGGTCTCGTAATATTACTCCACCCATGGGAAGAAATAAAAATATATGACTGAAACCTTAGGAAGATATTAAACTAAGTATACTAATATCCCCTAGGAAGGTATAAAACAAGAACATAAATTATCAAAGAAATGAATAAGTCCATTGTCCTGAGGCTTTAGAATACATTTAAGTGTAAGTATAATAATAAGATTTTACTCTGCATTTGTGAAAGAAAGGTTTATATTGGAAGTATTCAAAACTAATCAGCCATAGTCAATGCATAATTGCATTTCAAATGATCGAAAAGAATATAATTAAATTATAGTCAACTTAAATTTTCAAGATAATTTGCTTTTAAAAACATTTGTTTACTAGTTGTATGATTTCAATTATTTAAGCATTAAACGAAATATAACACACTCCAGTTCCTGACAGGAGGATTAAGAAACCTGGGCTGTGAGGTTCATTTTCCAAAATTGTCTCAAAGGAAATTAGAGACAGTGATTAGAAACCTTTTTTGCACAAGGGAGCTATAAAACAATGGACAATCGGGAATTTTCTTTGGACCAATTATATCAGAATCTCCAGAAGCAGCAAGTGGGCACTGCTGTTTTCAAACTCCTACTCAGGTCCAACTGACATGCAGCCAGGCTTGAGGAACTGCTAGGGGAGGAGAGGAGGAGAGTTTGCAGAAGTAGCATAAAAACTTTGAGAAGGCCAGGAGGAGGTCAAAGACATTCACGAACTGGTGGAGAAGCTTGTGGAAGTCTGGGGTGGGGACAAAGTGGGGTGTAGGTATAGATACGGCAGGGGAATTTTGTTCTTATCTGTACTCCACATTTATTTGGCAACATCATTTCGGACTCCATCACTTCTGTAGAGTGGAAGTTAGCAAGAGCACCCCAGGTGCCGGAAGTGCCTGTGGGGCTATGGAAGGGTCGGGCAGGTGGGAAGAACATCAGGGCTGTTTCAAGACCCACCAGGATGAGAACCTGGTGAGAACTCGGGATGAGTACCCGCCCCACGGCCGTGGCTTCCCCACCCCCTTTTTCTCCACACCTTCAGAGACAGTGCTTTGCAACCTGAGAGGGTTATGTTTTTTTGGAGATAACCTGCTTCTTTCCAAGAGTTTAAGGGAGATTCTCTGAGGCAGCACCTGGTGAAGGAACTGGGAGTGGAGCTGGTCTGCAGGTTCTGGAATGTGTCTCCGCCAAGTTCCTGAAGACCTGGCTCACACAGCCTCTGTTCTCTGACTGCAGCGCAAGTATGTTAGAAATAAATAACCAAGGGATGATGGTCGGGTGGCGATTCTCTGTGGGTCTCTTTGTTTCTCTAAGTCTTCTGAGCAGAGACATTGCCAGTGTTCATCTGGACAATCTTGTCAAAGACATTTATAGAGCAAACAGCCTTGGAAAACAGTATCTCCTTCCTTGGTGGAGGGCAGGTTCGTTTTCGTCCAGCAGAAATGAAGGTAATGTCTCTCCCGGGCAAAGATGGGATGGGTTGGCTTACACCCCCTTGTACAAGATTGGAATTCTAATCTCAGGGTCCTCTAACTGTGATCAAACCCATCTTCCTGCATGGAAGGAAACCCAATGAGGAAATGAAGTAATGAAGTCCTTTGTCTTCAATTAGGAGCATCATGTCTTTTACCAGCATTTTCGAAACTGTTATTGGCTATCTCGTTAGCTTACAAATACAAGTAGGGTAAAATCGAAGGCTCTTTCCAGATCCTGACAACGATTTTTTAAAAACCCTTAAGTCTGGATATGAAATGGCAAAAAATGAAATAATCATTAGATTTTAAAAGAACTCATAAAGGAGTCCTGGCTAGTGTAGCTTAGTGGATTGAGCATGGGCCTGTGAAGCAAAGGATCGCGGTTTGATTCCTAGTCAGGGTACATGCCTGGGTTGCAGGCCAGTTCCCAGCAGGGGGCGCATGAGAGGCAACCACACACTGATGTTTCTCTCCCTCTCTCCTCTTCCCCCCAAAGATTAAAAAAAAACTTTAAAAAAAAGAACTCATAAAGATTATTATGGAAAATTGAATAAAGTGAAAATACTTTAAGCCAAAATTTATAAACAAAGC